GGCATTGTTGGCTTGGTAAATGGCATCACCTTTAGGGAACAAAGTTTGCACCATGGGATGGACCTGGTCGCCCAAAATGGTCACATAGTCGTTGGCAGTGATGTGACCTTGCAGGGTAATGATGGATCCGACAGAATACCACGATATGGCTGCCCATACCATGATCGAACCCCCACCATGTTTCACTCTTGGCAGCAAACAACCTGGATCGTAAGCTTGATACGGCGTTCACCAGACGTAAACTGGGCCAGAAGTCGGGGACAGTGTGAAGGTGGACTCATCCGACCAAATGACCGTCTTCCATTGCTCCATAGTCCAGGTTTTATGACTTTGGCACCACACTCTCCTCTTAGTGGCATTTTGATCACTGATGAGTGGCTTTGGAATTGCAGCTCGTCCAGAAATACCCTGCTCGTGGAGTTCCCTTCATACTGTTTTGGTGCTGACAGGGTTTGTGAGCGTGACATTCAGTTCAGCAGTCACTTTTGCAGATGTATTCTTATTTTTCGTCACAATCCTACGCAATGTTAGTCTGTCTCGATCACACAACACACATTTTCGTCCACGCTGGTATTTATCAGATGCAGTTTTTTCAGTCCTCCTGTGTGCGGTCATAATCTTGGATACTGTGCCTCGCGAAACACCAAAAAACTCGGCTACCTTGATTACGGAAGCACCCACCATACGGGCCCAAACAATTTGCCCGCGTTCGTATTCTGTTAGCTCTGACATGATGCACTAAAAACTGCACAGAACACTGTCTCGACAACAAATGAAGCTTGCAACATATTGCAGAGGCTGTACAGGTACTGCTGTTGGACACATACGACATCGTCCCCGACAAACGTCGCTAAAATAAACACTTTAATTCAGGCATGCATTTCACGAGGTGTTTCCATATTTTTGTCCATCCCCTGTATATTTTTATCAAAATTAACATCTGCCTTGATCACACCATGTCCTTGCCTGATACAAAAATATAAACATATGAATAATTAATGAAATAATTAAGCCTTTCCATGTAAGGATTTTCTTTTTGGCTAATTTAGAGCAAAGATGTATGAAAGGCCGTGCACGCGCATGTGTCTGCTTATGTAGACAAACATTGTTCACTTTAACCTGCATGAATCATATTCTGTATAATTTATTAGGAATTAAACTAATAATAACTTAAGAAAATTATGTATATTTTAAGTATAAATGAGCATAATGACATGAGGGTAGTAGCAGAGACGCACCTTTACCACACCCATTTTTCATACTGCAAGTCAGTTTAAACAGATGGCGGCCTTGGCATAGTTATATGCTCTTTCAAGTTACATCAAACATACTCTTATAATGTACAGTCCTTGTCGGTGGCTATTGATTCCCTAATTCAGAGATTCTCATAAACTTGACAAACCTATATGCCTAGGGCATAGCAAACGTTACAACGACTTTTACCCCACGTTAGTGAGTGATCATTTTAACTCAATAATTGAAGTTTTATAATATTACAATAAAACAGTTTATTAATTTATTTATTGTTCATTAAAGTTTGGCTGTTGAACGTCAGATGGTAGGAAGAATGGCGAATAGTGTATTGGAAAAGATGAGGAAAGACGTGGTCGTTGCCTGTTTAAAGAAAGTCAGGAACACCACGTAAGACTTCCGTCAAGATAGAAAGTGACTCGGTCCAGTTTCGAACAGTGTACCTCTGAAAATATAAGGCTGAAACCATTTCCCTGCACCAGCTTACAGAGCTCATCTAGGCCCGTCTAATATCACTGCTATCGGCGGTCCCTCTAGCAAGTATCACAGGCATGTTCTCCTACTTCCAGCCCTGATTTACTGTCCTTCTCGGTATTGGTATGTCCGTTTTATCCTACTCGATGTAATCTTCAAGTTATATTTAGTCAGTTTTGCCTTGGTGCGTGTCGTAACAAATTAGGGCCAAAGGTGCACATGACGTCATAATTCTGATGCGTTCTTTTTGGTCACTTATCTCGAAATCCGTACTACTTACGGAAAGAGTCTATAGAGTGTAAAATGCATGTTTCGTGTTTCACTACGTCTGCTCTGAATATTATTTGCTCCGATAAATATTTGGCGAGTTACACTAGAGTTACTGTCAAGTTGACCGCAAAGCTCTTGCAAATTTTCATGTAAAGCGTCCGTTACTGTTGTATGATTTTAGCAAAAATTCGAACGGATCGGGAAATTTTAGCAAAACTCCCCAGCATACAATCTCACTAATATCTGTTCTCGGATAGACATACAAACATGACGTACCTAATAAGCACATTTTTGCAAATTTTCGTTTGCAACGAGCCAAATACTACTGTAAATAACTACGCAGAGATTTTTAATTAAGATAAAACAGGAATCCATCACACCCGTTTGTATCACGGAAACGGCGTTCGGGATCCAAATCTCCCTTCCTTCCGTTACGTAAGAGATAGGACTGGTGTGAAAATTCGTACCACCCTAACGGAGAGAATTTCTTTGTCAGGATATCCTACACTGCCCAAGGTAGCCGCTGCGCCGTGAAGCTCTTCCAGAGCTCTTGTCATATAGGATGACAATCTATAGAAATGCTTCCCTTCCCAGTTGCATGAGAAATAATTTATGAATTAAATGATACGTTACACGCCTAAAATTAAGAGATGGAAGATCTGTACTGTTGCACTTTTAAGGAGAATTAAAACTTACTGTGGGTAGAACAGCATCTATAGCCAGCTCAACAGATGTCCTGAACGTATAGCCTGGTTGCGGAGCTGGGATGCTAATGTGGCCATACCAGTTGCCAGAAGAATCCACCTGGTACTGAAACACATCAGGGCAAGGGCTTGTGGGAATTGACTGACCCCAAGTGGGCCCTAGGTTCTGTGCTGCGAGTATGAATCCCAGCACTTGGGCGCACACCATGACAATCACCTAAACTCACACAAGCACATCAATCTCCAGCCTCTTAGACCGTGAGAACGAGCTTCTAAAGAAGGAAGCGCCAGACTTGTAGTGATGTGTACATTACAGACTGCAGACGGTGGCGAATAATGATTCAGCACGTAAAACCACAGTTAATGTATTCTCAGCTCTGTATGCCTAGCGCGTAGTCTTGTTCTAAGTAATAATGTAAACACGTAATGCTTACAAGGTACAGTCAAAGGAGATATTTCGTTGTCGTATGATTAAGATCGAATAAAGCTTCGAAAGGTTACTTAATTACTGTTTTAATTACTATCTGCAAAACAATAATTCTGCCTGTCTATCCGCTACAGTTGGCACCAACTTCGCTGACAGGCGGCGGTCGCTCGGTATAGTTCGCTTGCGGACTAAAACCACGGAGTTTCTTTTTGTTTTGTTTATGAAGACACGGACTGATCTGTCTGCGGAGTATATGGATTAGTGGCGGACTTTTGTCAACACAACAATGGCCATCCTGGTTCCATGTGGGGGGGGGGGGGCTTGAAAAATTGAGCTTATCAAGAAATACTCTGCATTTTGAACTTATTGTTCCAATATTATGTTGGACACTGTCTATTGTCTGATATATATTTGATATATACGACATTTCCGGAGTTGACTGTATTCCCATTTTCATGTCATAGGTTGTCTTAATACGTGTACCAGCACAATGAATCGTCCATTGTCAGTAACCTTCACAGAATCACCGTGGAGTTGGCTATCCCTGAAATGCAAACATCCCATTTTGAAGATAATTATTTGCTTGCGTCATGCATCTCGTTTTGAAGAACTGGTCTCAGTACAGGGCGTTAAAATGACACTCACTACTTCACAAGTACGGCAGACCATTAAATGTGAAAATGTGTACATTACGTTTCAGCGTAAATGCAAAGTACCGCCCACGCTATAGACGCCCTTGCGTGACAGGAACAAAGGTTTTGCTTCAAGAAAAAATAAAAGGAAGCCAAGGGTCTCTTTGTTACGACAACATAATGTATAGTTATGCGAGAAAACAACCCTTTGCGTTTTCTTTTATTTTGCTTGAAGCTGATTCTTCTGTTTATCCTTCTCCATGATCGTCTCGTTCATTTCTTCTCTCAGTCCTTTTTCTGTTCTTCCTCTTTTTCTCATCAAGCTTGAGAGTGACAGAGAGAAAGAGAAAGACGGGAGGAGACAGAGAGAGCTGATGTTTTTTCTTAACAAAAAGCTTGGAGGTGAACAAGGAAATGTCGTAAGGCCTAACCAACTAATTTACTAGGTCCTACAAGTAGTAAACTTAATTCAAGTACATAGGCTACAAACCAACTTAACAACAAATTTACAAGTATACTAATCAATTAACAAGAAAATTAAGCAAATAACTAAACAACCCTTAAGTTTTATTGTGCTTGTTTGCTTACTACTTGCTTGGTTGGATTACTTTTCGATCGTCAGTATGGAGGCAATACATTCCTCCGAACCGTCGCTAAACTTCTACCAGACTACATGGCGTCACATCCTTGAAGATAGTGCGCTTCGCAGTCACCGTCGTGATAACCTCAAATGTTACAAAAAATTAAGTTGTTATTTTACCACTCAATTCCAGGTACGGAACAGCCACCTAGACGTCTGCATACAAAATGGACGACCCGCTAAACTGTTGACTGGGGCTCCGAAACTAGAACTCAAACCGCATGTTCCTTCAAGATGGCGTGTCGCCAAATTTTCACACCGACTTCACATCATTCCTCAGCGAGCTGGTTCCTGATCATTGTAACGGCTATACACGTAGGTCGGTGGGCCGGGGGATTCGTGACATTTCCTTTCGGCCACGTTCACCCGTTCTGACCTCCTTCTGTGGGATTACATTTCAGAATAAAATTATAGTTCCGTCAATACCAAAAACGTATAACACTTTAGTGGGAAAATGCGAAGTACTCTTGATTGGAAGGGTTCACTGAGGAACGAAAGAAACAGAGTGATGCGTCAATAAGTGCACATGTATAAAAGTTGTCCCTCTGCTTAACTAATTAAGCACTACGTCATGAAGGTGTATGGGGGAGTGATCCACATTTTCTTGACCTCAGCACCAGCTGGAGGAGAGTGGTCAGCTTCACGCCCCTGCCGCTTTACCCCCGGGGAAAGAGCTCCCGGTACCCATTAGATAGGAGGCTGGGTGGGCCCTAGAGCCGTTCTGGACGATATGGAGAAGAGAACATACTGACCCCACCGGAACTCGAACTCCGACCCCTTGTTCGTCCAGTCCATAGCCAGTCGCTATACTGACTGCGTTACACCGCCTCGCGCACAGGTTTAAACGGACCGTAATAAAAACAGTTCTTCGTTCCTGCTGCACGCAGATCAGTTCAGGTTGTTCAATAGGCCTGAAATCGTCCAGATGATTTTAGGTTACTCTCTGTGTCGGCCACGTAGTCTATTTAGCGATCCTCTCGTTTCTATGGACTCCGCTCATTCATGCCCGCAACCCCAAAATCAGGAATTTCATATATACCGTTGAGGTCATAACATTTCACAACTTCATTACGTTTCTTAAAATACAACGAGTTCATAATAGTATTTTTTTTACGCCACGGGTTTATTAAACAACGCTAATTTATAAATGATTAACTCCACAGATTATCGCCCTTCTTAAGAAGCTAATAGTAATTCAGCTGATATAGGAATTCCTTACTTTACATGGAAAACAAAGGAGTATTGTGTTCACAGGATTCCGCCAATAATCCTTGTCCTGATTCAAATGAGTCCAATCCACACACTGTTTATTTAAGGCCCATTTTAATATTCGTCTTTCATCTCCCACAATGTTTCAGAAGTGACCTTTCCTTTGGGGTTATCTGACTAAAACGATGTCTGTATTTTCCATTGCTCCCATTCGTGCTTCATCTTCTGCCCATCTCATCCTCCTTAACTTTAACACCTTGATAATTTTGTAAGAAGCAAGAACTAAAATGCCCCTAAATATATAATGTTCCCCAGCATCGTAGTACTTCCCAGAATTCCCTTCATCGCCGTGTTTTGAAATCTCTTAATCTAAGTTGTTCCCTTAAAGCAGCCAAATAATACGAGTATATTAGTAATTACACTTGAATCTTCACATTTTTAGATACATGCCAGGAAAACAAAAGTTTATGGACTGAAATGTGTGAAGTATTACCTAACTTCACGGCGCTGAGCCCTTGTTAAGAAACCACCAGCCGCTCAGCCACTGAAGAATTTTTTCAAATTTTATTGAACTCCAAGTTTCATTACCTTAGTCACAAGAACCCTCCACTGGTTCCCATCCTGAACCAGATCAATCCAGTCCATACTACCCCAGCCTATCTCTCTAGGGTCCATTATGTTGCGTATTATTCTGCCACCTACGTCTTGTTCTTCCTAGTGGTCTCTATTCTTCTGGCTTTCTTACCAAAATCCTATATGCATTCCGCTTAACACGAATGCATGTTAAATTTCCTGCCCATCTCAACTTTCTTCATTTCATCGTTTTGATTATACTTGGCGAAGAGTACAATCTACAAAGCTCCTCGTTGTACAGTTTTCTCTAACCTCCTATCACTTCATTTCTCTTAAGTCCAATGATTGTTCTCGAACGCCCTCAGTCTATGTTCCTCCTTAACTTCGGAGACCAATTTTCGTACCCATACAGAATCACAGGCAAAATTGTTACTTATGTATACTCTGCTGTTTACGTTTCTAGACAGCAGATGAGACGACAAAAGTTTCTGGACTGAATGTATGAATGAATGTATAAGGGGTGTGCCTTCTCGGCCCTTGCACCGCGACCTACAGTGATCTACTGTGCTTAAAGGACTGAATGGTAGCAAACATTGCCCAAATTCAATCTCCCCTTAATTTTCCCCTGAGCCAAATTTTGATTCGTTACTGACGTTCCAAAATATTTTAACTTTGCCACATTCGCAAAGGATCCATTATCTATATTTATGTTGTGATTTTGCCCCGTATTTTGGTGATGAGACATCAATATACATTTATTTTCTCTGCGTTTACCTCTAGACCAACCTCGTTACTAGAATTTCTGTTTTTTTCTTTATGGTATCTCTATTATCTTCCAATAGATTTTCATCATCAGCATAGACCAATCGTTGATGTGTCCCATTTAATTTCAGTCCCACCTGGTTTTCCTAGACATTTCTAATGACATATTCCAAGGAAAAACTGAAAAGCAATGGTGATATAGCATCTCCCTTTTTAGACCATTTCGTATATGGACCGCGTCAGACAATTGCTTTCCTATGAAGACCTTGCTACAGGTTTCATTTAAATACCTTTTAATCGGTTTCATAGGTACACGAAATTCTAAGAAAATATTACATAATACAATACTTCCCTCCTAACTGAGTCATAGGCTGTCTCGAAGTCTGTGAATAGCTGATGTGCCATCTCATTTTTCTTTTTTTTCTCCAGGATCTGACGAGTGCAAAAAATCTGATCAGTTGTTGATCTGTTACAGTGATGATACCCAATAATTTCGTGTATATATGGACTTAATCTTGAGAAAAGGACACTGGATAACATTTTTCATGAAGTTGATCACAGTGATATTTCTCGATAATTACTGCAGTCTGTTTTATCGTCCTTCTTTTAAACTAATAAAACAATAGGCTCCTTCAACTGATCAGACAATTCTTCAATACTCTAAATAAAATTAACGAGTTTATGGAACTCGTATTATTTGACCTGCTTGAATCAATTGTGCCACAATTTTTATCACTACCTGGTGGCGATTTGTGCTCTTTCAATTGTGTGTGGCAAGTATTATCTGAATTTAATGCCGTTCCCAAATATTTTAACTTCTCTATAGTTTCTTCTTATATTGTGATTTATATTCCTGCTTAGTGAAGGCGAATCTTATTCTCAAGCTTCTTTTCTTTTACTTTTATCAGTGAATGCTAACCTTTTTACACACTTCTAATACAGCTTCCGTATTACTCTTTGTATCATTTTGTTTCCATCCGTTAAATTAAAATATCATGAACAGAAGCTATAAACAGATAATAAGGATATTATCTTTTACGTTTAAGATCCATATTAATTTGAATGAGTGTTATTATATTGT